TATTAGTTTTTATTTTGTACAAACCCAAACACAAGTGCAAACTTTTTTTGGGTGCTTTATGTTTATTGTGCACAATATTTGATATTTACTTGTATTTTGTGACAATAAACATTATTATTATTATTATTATTATTATTATTAAAACTATGACCCTTAGCATTGATTAACACATTATTATGAGGAGTAACATTTAGAGATACTGGGTCATGAACTCACATCTAAGCTCAAATTATCAGAGAGATATTAATGGACAGACATGGTTCCAAATTTTTATCATTAACCAAAGGAATGATTAAATCTACAAATATTATCAGAGAACTAGGTTAATATTATCACCTTTCATACAAGAACTACTGAGAATTAAATACATAAGTTTAGATATGGACAAATTATAAAATAAGTCGCAGCTATCCTCGAGACGTGGTCACACTTGAAGCACAATATGAAAATATAAATACATGGTATGGAGAGTTGATCTACTTAACAAAAACGTAGTGCTAGAAATCAATTAAGTCTGGCTCGAGGGTCTTTAGGTGTCCACCATTTACAGTCAACGAAATTCTTTGTCGCGCAGTTTTCGCATTTATAACCAAAAGTCTAAGATACTGGTAAGGATAATAAATCGTTACGTCGATGATGGTTCCTGAAAGCGTTTGCTGTATTGTTTATACTTATTTGCTCCAATTACAAAATCGAGAGATCATAATTTCTTCATTCCAAGGCTAGAAATTTACATATTGGACATCTAAGCGCTATGAATGCTCATACTATTTAGGAAGTGTGTAAGAGCCAGATTTATAGACGTCGCTTGAATCTTGGAAACAATGCATCTCTCCTTGGAAAGAGTGAATCAATGACGATTCCTTGAGGAACGTTGAAGGAGAAATTTAAATTTTCATTTCACTGGCCTTTAACCATTAACTGGTGACGTGCCATTCGGGTGACGTTAGAGGTGACGCTGGGTTTCTCAGACTCACATATTACTTTTTTTATACCTATTCCTGTATGTATTTTAGATATTGTTTAATTTTATATATTGTCTAATTCTATAATATATTTTGAGGCAAATAACAATGTTATACAAATATGTAAAATTGAAGATTATATGTAAAAAAGGGTGTCTCATAAATATTTTCTTATTTTATGCCATAAATAAAAATACTTAGAATATTTTTACAAAGATAAATTTATTACCAAACGAAAGCCTAAACATTAATTTTATTTATGGAAAAGAGTATCGGATAAATGAGCACCGTTCATGTTTTCACACTCTCTTAATCTCGAACTGAAGTTTTCGATCACTCTCCGAAGCATTGCTCGAGGAATGGCGTTTATTTCATCTGTTATTTTTTGCTTCAACTCTCTCAAATCTTGTGGCGGTAGGGTGTATACCTTACTCTTCAGGTATCCCCATAAGAAAAAATCTGCTGGTGTCAAATCGGGACTTCTCGGTGGCCAGTTAATGTCTCCTCTGCGACTGATGACCCTCTCTGGGAATAACTGATGAAGAGCATCCAAGGATTCATTCGTGACATGAGAAGTCGCTCCATCTTGCTGGAAAAACGTGTTTCTATTGTAGCCACCATGGTTCTGTATAGCTGGAGTTAAAAAAGTCCTAATCATGTGGCAGTAGCGCTCAGATGTTACAGTTTGAGCTTGGCCACGATTGTCTTCAAAAAAATACGGGCCAATGATTCCTTGCCCTGACATAGCAGCCCAGACGATAACTTTAGGCGAGTGTAATGGCGTCTCATGAAGATTTTGCGGGTTCTGCTCGGCCCAATATCGGCAGTTTTGTTTATTAACATGCCCGTTAATGTGAAAATTCGATTCATCAGAAAACCATATGTTGTTGTAACCGTTAAAATGCTCTCTCATTGTTCTACAGAACTCTAATCGATTAGCGGGATCTTGTGGTTTTAATTGTTGTGTAACAACAATCTTGTATGGGTGAAAATGCAAATCCTTGCGAATAATGCGATGAACAGTTGACTTATGCAAAGTTAGAGACGCTCCACGCAGTCTTAATGATTGCCGGGGATCCTCGTTAACGGACTGGCGCACACGTTCAATATTTTCGTTCGATCTTGCTGACCTTGGCCGTCCAGGCGGTTTACTAATACACGTGTTTCCAGTGCTCTCGAACTTTCTTACCCAATATTTAATTAAATTTGTGCTTGGGACATCTCTCATTCTTGCTATGTTATAATGATTTCTGTACAAACGACGTACAAGCACATAAGAATCCTTGTTTTTATAGAACTCGCGAACACAAAAAGCACGTTGCGGCCCTGTAAAACGCTCCATTGCAACTAAAATTTAACAATGTTGCCAAACGTTTGTCAACTGTCTCGTTTCTCCGGAGCATGCGTATTCCGCCAGAGGACTGATCTAAAAACGAAAATATTTCTGAGACACCCTTTATTTATCAAAAATAAATTAGGAAAAGTAAAAAAAAGTCCACATGTTTGTCTAACATGTTTATACAATTTTTTTAAAGGCATTATAAAATGGGTTTGGTGAAACAACATTGATAAAGCATGAAATAAAAAAAATAAACATTTTAGAAAAATATATACTAGAACACTACAGCACCTGAACTTGAGGTAAATAAAAAAAATGTTACTCCCTGGCACATTCAACACGTATTTTTCCCACACATGGTGAGCAAACTGGTTTTTCACATCTCACACATCTTTTCCATAATACGCCCTAACATTTATTTCCTCCATCTCAGGTTCAAGTTCCTCTTCCGAAGCAGAATCGTTGTTACCTCCATTATTTTCTATACTAAGTGACATATAAATCCGAACACCCAGTTTAAATGGTTTTATTTTAATATAAGTTGGTGAATGTATTTATCTTACTGTAAATAACAAGTGAAAAAATGTTCAGCCTTATCAGTTGGACATTCCGGTTTTTATACTGCTTTTTTTTAATTCACTAACGCTCTAAAAATGAATATTTCAGCCGCAGTAAAGAATCAACGTTGGCGGATTTTGACATCCTTTACGATCGGATACGATCCCTAGAGTACGGAGACCTGTACGATATCGTCAACTTAGTGAGTTTGATAGGGGCCGTATAGTGGCACTTCGGGAAGCTGGACTTTCTTTTAGGGCAATTGCAGTTAGAGTGCAAAGAAGTATAGACACTGTGGTTAGGTGTTGTCAGGCATGGCTTCGAGAAGGCCGTACGCAAAGAGCAAGGGGCACTGGACGCCGCCGTAGAACAACAGACCATGAAGATCGCCGCCTAAGATTATTGGCCTTAAGGGACCGTTTCTCTACTACCAGGTCCATTGCAAATGAATGGTTTGCAGAACACGGAAGACCTATTGGCATGCGAAGTGTTTACCGAAGAATGAGAAGTTTTGGCTTGTTTTCATACCGGCCCTTTAACTCGAGAACACCGACGTAATCGCCTTGAGTGGTGCAGACAACGGTCACTCTGGGATCAGGAATGGAACAATATTGTCTTTAGTGACGAGTCTCGATTTTGTTTAGGCATGCACGATGGTCGTGCCAGGGTTAGAAGGCGACGTGGTGAAAGGAGGAATCCACAGTTTTTTGTTGAAAGACATTTTCATCACACTGTTGGAGTTATGGTTTGGGGTGCTGTAGCTTATGGTTCCAGGTCACCTTTAATCTTCATCGCGTTATATCCACGAAGTTCTAGAACCCCATCTTTTACCCTATCTTGACACCCTGGCAGATCCAACTTTCCAACAAGATAATGCCCGACCACATGATGCAAGAGTCACAATAGACTTCTTTCAACATAATGAAGCACTTCGAGAGGAGTTGGTGGTTGCCTGGAATGAGATACCACAGGAGGACATTGACCACCTGATCAGAAGCATGCCTAGGCGCGTTGGAGAATGCGTAGCACATCAGGGTGCATCCACACATTATTAAAGGTCAAAGGGCTTTAAAGCAGTGCAATCATTATGAAATTTTTATCATTTACTTATTATGCTTCATTAAGTACTTATACAAAATTTTATTAAAATAAAACCATTTAAACTGGGTGTTCGGATTTATATGTCACTTAGTATATTTCTGAGGTTGAATCGTGGTCACTGTAATAATCGAGATCTTGTATATCATCATCCTGATCACTAAAGTCACTTTCTACTTCTTGCCATCGCTGAGCAATAGCTTCGAAATCTTTATCAGTATTTTTTCTTTTAAGGTGCCATTATTCAAAAATCACGTACAGACCCTGCGAAATATTAGACAATATGTGAAAACTCTCTCGTAAAAGTCTACGATGCAACGACGTCTCACTTGCAAATAGTTATTAGAGGGGTACCTAGGCGGACAAGCGACAATCTGGTTAAGTCCGGGAGTGGGAGTTATTTGAATTTCGCGCAGGGTTTGTCAGACCCATGGTTATCAATTACGGGTTAACAGCAGAGCAATCCCTGAGAAGTAAAAACTGAATATAGGCAACCAGTGTCACCGAACTGCTCTGCTGGTTGCAGATTGTATATTACGTCTGTCAGATTGAACTACTACAATATTTCACAAAGAAACGTATTTTATACTCAGATTTTATATTATTGTATATTATAATGTGTGAATATGAAAAAAAAATACCGAGAAGAATATGTATTGATCGAGATAATAAACAAATTTAAAGGGATCATTAAAAATAAAAACAGATAGCGGCAGCAGTTTGGTGCCACTGGTTGCCTATATTCCGTATTTTACTTCTCTGTGATTGTGCTGTGAAATGATCATTTGAATCCTACCTTGAACGTTCCTGAAGGAAGCGTCATTGTTTCATTATTTTTAAGGAGAAAACCACTGTTTCCAAGGAAATATCACGCCTTAAGGAAGGTCTATAAATCTGGCTCTAAGTACACTTAACTTTGATTTACGATTTTAGCATGGCACGTGTGACCATGGCTCACTGTAAAATGCATATTCAAATGAATAAAACTCTTTTTCTTGGGCTTGGACTGGTTACATTTGTTATTCTGTTCCTTTTTTCAGCTCAAAGATCTGGCGCTCAACAATCTGCCCCGCTAGAAACTTTATACACGCAACAACAGGTATTCGTACTTTACTTAAAACATTACATGCCAGAAAAAGGGCTAGTAGATATGGATCTGTAGTCGCAGTTAAATTAAAATATTGCACGACACTGGTTCTTGCAAAAATAAGTGCCATTCCTTCAAAGCTTTGTTGACTTTTGAAGTTTTTCGTTATGTTCTCGTGAAAACAGGTGTCAAGTACATATAAAGGATTATGTTGATCACAAGTTAGACCCTCTGAGAAAAAAGTTTTTTAACGTTACAAACCGTTAAAATGCGTGTATTAGAAAAATTATGAGGAATGTTATTAATTTCGAAGCTCCGACTAGTCGAACCGTGTGTGTGCTTTTCGCTCGACGCTGAGTGCCTGCTGCTTTGTGAATATATACTAAGTGACATATAAATCCGAACACCCAGTTTAAATGGTTTTATTTTAATAAAATTTTGTATAAGTACTTAATGAAGCATAATAAGTAAATGATAAAAATTTCAAAATGATTACACTGCTTTAAAGCCCTTTGACCTTTAATAATGTGTGGATGCACCCTGATGTGCTACGCATTCTCCAACGCGCCTAGGCATGCTTCTGATCAGTAGGTCAATGTCCTCCTGTGGTATCTCATTCCAGGCAACCACCAACTCCTCTCGAAGTGCTTCTAGAGTCTGAGGAGGACGTTGCAAATTGAGCAATCTCCTACCCATCATATCCCACACGTGCTCAATTGGAGATAAGTCGGGAGATCTTGGTGGCCATGGTAACAATGTGACATCATTATGTTGAAAGAAGTATATTGTGACTCTTGCAACATGTGGTCGGGCATTATCTTGTTGGAAAGTTGGATCTGCCAGGGTGTCAAGATAGGGTAAAAGATGGGGTTCTAGAACTTCGTGGATATAACGCTGTGCGTTCATGTTACCTCTGATGAAGATTAAAGGTGACCTGGAACCATAAGCTATAGCACCCCAAACCATAACTCCAACAGTGTGATGAACATGTCTTTCAACAAAAAACTGTGGATTCCTCCTTTCACCACGTCGCCTTCTAACCCTGGCACGACCATCGTGCATGCCTAAACAAAATCGAGACTCGTCACTAAAGACAATACTGTTCCATTCCTGATCCCAGAGTGACCGTTGTCTGCACCACTCAAGGCGATTACGTCGGTGTTCTTGAGTTAAAGGGAGGACCCAGTGTGGCCGGTATGAAAACAAGCCAAAACTTCTCATTAGTCGGTAAACACTTCGCATGCCAATAGGTCTTCCGTGTTCTGCAAACCATTCATTTGCAATGGACCTGGTAGTGGAGAAACGGTCCCTTAAGGCCAATTATCTTAGGCGGCGATCTTCACGGTCTGTTGTTCTACGGCGGCGTCCAGTGCCCCTTGCTCTTTGCGTACGGCCTTCTCGAAGCCATGCCTGACAACACCTAACCACAGTGTCTACACTTCTTTGCACTCTAACTGCAATTGCCCGAAAAGAAAGTCCAGCTTCCCGAAGTCCCACTATACGGCCCCTATCAAACTCACTAAGTTGACGAAATCGTACAGGTCTCCGTACTCTAGGCATCGTAACCGATCGTAAAGGATGTCAAGAACCAAAATCCGCCAACGTTGATTCTTTACTGCGGCTGAAATATTCATTTTTAGAGCGTTAGTGAATTAAAAATAAGCAGTATAAAAACCGGAATGTCCAACTGATAAGGCTGAAAAATTTTTCACTTGTTATTTACAGTAAGATAAATACATTCACCAACTTTTATTAAAATAAAACCATTTAAACTGGGACTTCGGATTTATATGTCACTTAGTATATTTATCCTTGTGTAACATGTTATCAGAAAAACAACATCTATTTAAGAACAAAAGATCCGCAACAACTAACTTATGCTGCTTCATGAATTATCTATCGTTTGCTGTATTTAAACAACAACAAGTTGATGTTATATTTTTTATAGATTTCTCGAAATAACCCACTTCATTTTGCTTAACAAAATGTATAAATTTGGATATTCGTATGGCTTGTTGACACCTTCCATTTGTACAGTGTAACGGCACCAACAACAGAAGTGCCTCAAGGTACTAACTTGGGTTCCCTACTATTTTTTATTTTTGTTAATGATATCAAACATATGCTAACAGTAATTCATGGGCAAGACAGCGTAGATCTTTTGCAGGGACATTTAGACAGCATTCTTAATCCCAGCATGTGAAAAGTAATGTCCATTACCAGCAATGATTATATACTGGATAATCATAAACTTAGGGATTACTATTAAAGTACCCGGGGGTAATAAGGCCCACCAGATATTAAGGCCCAACGCTGGTTTGCCCAAAGGAAAGCGCCTAAAATATTTATATCGCCATCTGTTAATAATATTTAGTATTACTGTTGCCGGAAATGTAATTTTGTTCTATGGTTATGAGCTTACTGGCTTGTTCTATGGTGTCACGTTTCGCTGTGCTATATTTTATAAGAATTTCGACCGGTAAGTAAGCAAATTAAATTGTTTTAATAATACGTAGATTTTTCATTATGTATGCGTGATAATCTATGTATCTGATAGTTTCATTTTACGTAGCGTTTCTTTTTATGTTGGGTTTGTTTGTTGTTTAATAACCTCAAAATTAATTTTATTGTGCTACAGGTTATGAGGCCAGGGCCTTATTTTCTATAATGCATTGAAAAGGGCTTGGGCTTTATTTTCTGCCGCCATGAATACACGTATTCATTAGATTTATTTATTCTTTTACAGAAGATGGGTAAAAAAAGCAGAGGGATAAGGGCAAATTGGGATGAAGAGATGATGAGAGAAGCATTAAATTATATTAACGAGGGAAAATCTCAGCGCTGGGTGGAACAAAAATGCGGAATACCCAGACGGACACTTAGGAACCACATTAAATCACAAAGCGTGAAGAGAAAACTAGGTAGACAAACAATTTTGACCGATAATGAAGATACTGACCTTGAGAATAAAATAATTCGGCTAGCCGATAAAGGTTTCCCACTAACACCAAAAGCATTAAGAAGGTCTGTGTTCAGGTATGTTGACCAAAAGAAAATTAAGCATTGTTTCAATCAGGAAACTCGTCTCGCTGGTAGGGAGTGGGTAAGGACTTTTCTGAAAAATCATCCGAGAATATCAAAACGTCGATCTCAATTCATGAATCCAGCAAGAGCCCAAAAATTAAATCGTTTTATCGTAGAAGATCATTTCAAAAAACTAGAAGATTTGTTGGAGCGCACTCAGTTAAAAAATAAAGAAGCAAAAATTTATAATATGGACGAGATGGGTTGCCGCTTGACTCTTCACCACCAACAAAACGTTCTGGCAGCCAAAGGAGCAAAACGAGTGCATGTAATTTCTCATGAACACGCCGAAAACGCAACTATCGTCGCTTGCGCTAATGCTCTCGGACATGCCATACCGCCTGTCATTCTTTTTAAGGGCAAGAGAATGAAGCCTACGCAGATGGCTTACCGGCTGGCTCAAAAGTTATGATGACGCTTATAGGGAGCATGACGATAGAAACGTTTGATAAGTGGTTAGACCATTTCATTGAATACATGTCGCCTCCGCCAGTAATTTTAATTTTTGATGGGGCCAAATGCCATTTGGATATTAGCATTGCTGAGAAAGCAGAAGCTCATGAGATTCACTTATATTGTCTGCCGAGTAACACCACCCATGAGCTTCAGCCGATGGACAAAGCTATATTTCGAGCATTTGAAGCTTATTGGGACGATGAATTGTTAAAGTACTGGGATAAAAATCCTACAAGTGATTTAAACAGGGAAAGATTTCCTGAAGTTTTCACACCTACATGGCAGAAAGCAATGTCCATTGGAAATATTACAAGCGGCTTTCGAGCTACGGGAATTTGCCCTTATGATAAGGATGTTCTTCTCATTGAAGCATTTGCCCCAAGTCTTGCAACTGAGAAACCTTACCAGGAGACGACCGCCGCTGCCGATGATTCGGAATATGATTCAGATGACTACCTGCCTTTAGGTGAATTTCGTAAAAAATTAATCCCTTTGAATAATTCCTTCGCGGAAGTGTTACCAACACCAGATCTAGTCAAAAAAAATCTGCTCCAAGACGTAAAGCTATAAATTACAAAGCAGTTGAAGTCAAGCGATCCGTATTTTTAAAGGAGGTGGAGTCTCAACTTGATCCCGTTCCAGTCTTATCGAATACCGCTAAATCGCCATCTGAATCTGTGTCTTCCATTGCATCAAAAACAAAAGAACATAACGAAGAATGGCACTGTGTGATTTGCTACGAAGACTATGTAGCAGATATGAGACGATGTGCTTCTTGTGGTTTTTGGGTCCATGAGGATTGTGCTGGTTTGACTGCGGACGATACTGAAAATTTTTTGTGTCCAGACTGTATGCCTTAAGTATTAGATTTATACTTAATACCATATTTTATCTTTGATACTGTTTTTTTAGTGTGTTACATTTATTTTTTATTCTATCAGTATTTTGTTGAACTGTTATTTTTTTTTATCTCTCATTCAAATCTCATTATATGTCGTTGCAGATATTAAGGTCCAAAGGGATATTTTTGATATTTATGTTTGGATATCATTATTTTAATATTTTCTTTTTATGGTTTGATTTTTTTTGTGTTTTGTTTATTCGTTTGACTTGTTTTTTGTTCATTTAAATATGGGCCTTATTATATGCACTTGCAGGCTTTAAGGCCCAGAAGACAATTTTTTTAATGTTCGCGTCTCGACATATAAGCATGATTATTTTGTGTTCAAACATTACCATTATGTTAGTTTATACCCTTTTCTATTTTTTATAATAATAAAAGTTTGAAAAAGTAAATTTCTCTCGTAGATATTAATTATAATTTCTTAGGTGGGCCTTATTACCCCCGGGTACCTTACTTCAGGACTGTCTTTTTCAACACACTTAAATCAAATAGTTAAGTCAGCTTTACGTATGCTTGGATTCATTATTAGAAATTTCAGATCTTTTACTAACACGGAATCGAGCGGTGC